TTTCTAGTTCTAAGGACCATGAATTCTATACATAGGTCATGCCCTCATGGCATTTATGGTCTAGCACAGGGGTATCAAACTCAAATAGATATGGGACCACTAAACCATGCACATGGATGTGTGCAGGTGCATATTGACCTCGAAAATCACATATCAATATCATCTATATTCTATTTTATTTTATTAAATACTCTCAATTACATTTGAAAGGGGTTCAGGCCACACAGGAGTGTTGTGGGAATGATGTAGCTTGTGGGCCTCATGTTTGACACCTCTGGTTTTTTGGTCATGTCCGATTCTTCATGATCCTATTTGGTGTTTTCTTGGCAAAGATACTGGAGTGGTTTGCCATTTCCTTCTCTAGCACATTTTACAGATGAGAAAACTGAGGTAAACAGAGTTAAGTGACTTGCCCAGGGTCACAGAGTTAGTAAGCATCTGAGGCCAGATTTGAACTCAGGAAGATGAGCTTTCCTAACTCCAGGACCAGAGCAGGACACAAATATTGACGACTCTTATGTACAGGAGGAAGAGCCATCATCCTTAAGAGATCTAGATACCCACTAATAATCCAAGTCCCTGGAAGGCCTGGAGGGCATCTTAGGGGTGGCAGAGACCAAGAAGTTCTAAACTGTCCAGAATAAACTGCTTCAGATGCAACCAGAAAGTTGGTCAAAGAAACAGCTACTTTAGATCTATTCTATGAATAGCCTTCTTCACCTTTCTGAAACATGCTGACTCTGGTTTATTTGTTTATTAATATTGCCTAGCCTTCTTCCACTAGGACCCATTTTAACCTGATTGTCTACAACTGTTGTGATCTTTGCCTTCCTGATAATGAGTTGTGTCTTCCAACTATCAGCTGTGATCCCATAACAATGACAATTCTTGCCCAGCCAACTGGATTCAGCCTACTTCTGTACTACTATCCCGGCCCAAGTTGAAGCACTAAGTTCTACTAGAGTCCCTGTGGAACAATATCAGTCTGTTCAAATCTTGCTGCCTGAATGAGATGAAGTATTCTGAACTTGGGACTGTGGGTACAGAAAGGGTGCAGTACAATTTTTAAAGGATATTCAACCTGTAGAGAAATTAAATTAAAGTGCTAAAAGTTTGGGTTGCCTGGAAATCTAACCATTATGCATAAGAGTACTTCAATGAGAAAACACTTTAAATCCCTAAAAACTGGTTTGCAAAATAAATAAATTCTCTAAAATGCAGCCAATTACCTGGCACACATTAAGTGCTTGATAAATGCTTGTCGAGTAAATGATTAAGGTGGGACCAGCCTACGTACATTTACCAAAAGTGTTGCTGTTCAATCACATCTAACTCTTCATGAACCCATTCGGGGCTTTCTTGACAAAGATACTGGAATGGTTTGCCATTTCCTTTTCCACAGCTCATTTTACAGATAAGGAAACTGAGGCAAATAGGGTGACACAGCCAGTAAATATATGAGGCTGGGTTTGAACTTTCTTGACTCCAGGCCAGGCACTACATCTACTGCACCACCTAGCTGCCTGGAGCGTCAGGTTCTAAAAGTGTACATATTTGTGGTGTTTTATTTCTTTGTCTGGTTTTGGAGGGGTTTTTTTTTGAGGTGGTCAGGGAAGGAAAGATAAGAATGAGAATTCAATGACATACATGTATTAACATCTAGATTATAAACCAAACTCTTTAACTCAATCTATCTTATTAGTCTTGTTTTACTTAAAATTTCCAGTGTACAATATACTTTAAGTGCCCATTCTGACGATGTATCTGATAAATATTCTGAGCTGTAGCACAGAAGGTGTGATTTCAAAAAAAACAAAACCAAACTTATTTCCTCAATTTTTTGCTCCATGATTGTCTGGATTCTTTCCCACCACCACCAGGATGTCTCAGAGCCACAGCGTTCACAAATTCATTTTGTGCCTTGGTTCTAAGCAGTTCTTTTTCAGTCTCTTAAGTTTACTAAATACACACATAGTGATCAAGATAGAAAAGCAAAAGAAAAAAGAAAATAAACAACCACGGAGAACAGCATTTTAGATGGTTGAAGAAAGCATGTGTTACTGACACTCCCAAACTTTTCCTATCTATTCTACATGTTGGTCTAAAAAAGAAATGTCACTAACGAAAACTAATACCTGATAAACTATATGAGCATGGATTGGGGAGTTTCTTGACATATGATTAAAAGTCTTAGGCCTGGCTATTTTAACAGCTAGCATTTATGCAGCACTTTAAGGTTTGCAAAGTTACATATGTATATATAAAATCTCATTTGATCCTTACAAATACCCAGAGAGGTTAAGTGATTAGCCCAGGTCACACAGCTTATAAGTGTCTGAGGCAGGATTTGAACTCAAGATGCCCAACATTCTTTCCATTGAACCATGTAAATAATGTCAAGAACAGACAAAGGTATTTGCCTCATTCTAAATATTTTGAAGAAAAAGGAAAGATGACAAATAGCATCTCCATTCAAACCAGTGAAGACCTTCTTTTTTGAACTCTTACAAAGAGCAGCATTTAAACTTCACAGCATCTCCAGTTATAAATTAAACAGTTATCATTTTAAAGGTATATATGCAAGAGTTTTGTTTTTTATTTCTTGTCTTACAAACTTCTAATGGTGCCTAACCATAACAACACAGAAACACTTTCCATTTGCCAGAGAAATCTGTTCTAACCATTGAGCACACCCAGAATCCCTGGTGGACTACTCAGAAAAGTTAATCAGCCAATAAACATTTACTAAATACCTACTATATGCCAGGCACTATGCTAAGCACTAGGGATAAAAAAAAAAAGGCAAACGATAATCGCTGCCTTCAAGGAGCTTACAATCTAATGGAGGAAACAATATGCAAACACATATATACAAAGCAAACTATATATAGGATAAATAGGAAATCATTAAGAGAGCGAAGGTGCAAGAATTAAAAGGGGTTGGGAAAGGTTTCCTATAGAAGACAGAATTTTAATTGGGACTTCAAGAAAACTATGGATGCCAGTAACCAGGCACAGCATTCCAAGAATGAGGGACAGCCAGAGAAAATGCCCAGAGCCAAGAAATGGAATGTCTCATTCATGGAACAGCAAGGAGACCAGTGTCACTGTGTCATAGAATACATGGCAGGGAGAAGGTGTAAGAAATCTGGAAAGGTAAGAGAGGGCTAGGTTATCATAACTTTGACATAGGGTTTGAATAGCAAACAACTGAAAAGAGGAGACAACATCCATGAAAATAATTGGGTCTAGATAGATGGTTATAAAATTCACATTTTTAAAGGGTTTCATGAGCCCATAATATGGGAACCAAGTGTATGTAGTTTCAAATGTAAAACGTTTATTTCAATAGAAACTTCATTTGGATGAGCCAAGGGGGTAGTGCCCATCATTTTCCTGCTAAATATTATTTATTCTGAATTTGCATTATTTTCATTTTTTAACCAGACCTTTGATTTCATTGATATTGAGAAGTCCCTCTCCCAATACAGGTCAGCATCCTTTCGAAAACTTAGATTCTGAGTAAATTGCTTGGAAAACTGATAGTGACTTGCTCAGTCACATAGTCGGTCTGTATGAGGCAGGATTAAACCCAGGGCTTCCTGAGGGCAGTTCTCTACTATGTAATAATGTGTCTCAAAACTTAGCTTTCACCTTACAATAAACCTTAGCTGGGAAAAGTTAAAATGATTTGGTTTGGAAAGCCCTTTTTAAAAGACCTCCGATTTGAAATAGCTGAAAAAATCCAGAGGGATGAAGAGGAAACATATTTGCATTACTGGTAGATAAAATTATTTTTCATCTTCAACACCTGCGGTAACTCTTATAAAACTAATGTGCTGCATGTTTAAACCTTTCGAGTTTGAGAAGCTTTTCACTTAACTGAATTATTTCCTTACAAGCTAGGGATCTTTCTAAAAATCTTTCCAAATGGCATCATACACCCACAAAAATGAAAATTACCTGTCACAAATAAATGATTGGCTATGTCCCCAAGAAGGCAGAATTAAAGGTTCCTGTAATTTCCATTTCTGACTTCTCTAAACTGACAGAATACTCATAGTGATTTTTATCACACTAACTCAATTAAGTTTCAGGATGAAATACAGCTGTCACAGGAATGAAGGATTATTAGACAAAGCTGAGGTCATCTGAGTATTGTCTAAGTTATATTAACAGTGACACTTAAAGAATAATACAGTGTCATTTTGGCCTCATTTTATCTTGTTTGAGATGCTTATATTTCAGATGGCTGACACAACTTAGTAGCATGCAAACTCTCCCTCCCAGAAAGTGTCCACAAAGCTGTCCAAAATGCTCAACATTAAAATTCACCACTAAAATGCACCAAGTTTCATAAGTACTCCATTTTATATTCAAGTAGACCAAAAATATGGGAAGTTCAGTGGTAGAACCAAGAACAAATAAGAGTTTTCTTACATCCAAATCCAATGCCATGGACAGCAGATGGCCAAGCAAGATGACTGTCACTATGAAAAAGTAAGCCAGAGAATCACTTTTCTTGGATCCAAGGAAAAGCTAACCTGCCCTTTAAACTGTTGTAATTTATTCTCTTGTTTTCATGACCTGCGGTATTAACACTCTAAGAGATGCCTGAGTAGAGTCTCCCAGCATCACTAAATCTTTTGTCTTGGCAGGCAATAATAAAGTCCTTATAGATAGGTGCCATCTTTTCCCTCTTTGTTTCTTTAATCTGAAACTGTACCAAATTTCTCTTAGTTAAGAGTCCTGAGTCCTATAAACCATCTGCTCAAAAACAGTTCTGAAAAGGAAGAGCAATTAAGGTAAGGGGTGATCATAGCATCAGGCACTGTGCTAAATCCCGATGAAGATAAACACCTCCTTTTTGGATAATGTCATGGAGGCTCTTCTACAACCAGTGGGGAAGTCAAAAAATGAGTGTGGAGTTCCAAGTATAGCTTAAAAGTGGCCATGAAACAAGTTCTAAGACTGTGTGGAAGTCATCTGATTGAGCTTACCTGGTTGTTGATAGTAAAGATTTAGCAATCATTGGTTCCAACCACAGCAATTTGTTTCATCATTCAGGTGAATCTGATTATTGACTTTCTTCTTTAAAAATCCAAAGTCTCCACCTGATTAGAAAAATAAATAGAAGGAAGCCATTTTAACTGGTGCACTAAGTTCTATAGTAAGTAACTATGTGAATAAAGCAAAAGTATTACTATGTCTGCACAGTCTATAAGTGGAAAGTACAATTAATTTGGATTGTAATCCCAGATTATTAGCCGAATGAATTTGGACAAGTCATTTAACAACTTAGAACAATCAGTTTCCTTTTCTGTGAAATCAAGGCAACAATGCCTGCTCTACCTACTTAACCGGGTTGTGTTAAGAAGCAAATAGGATTATGCATGTGAAAATAATTCTATAGGTCTGGGTTCTCCCTCCACCAACGAAAGCCACAACCCCTGCATACATTAACATATGGTCTTTGAGAAGTGTGATGGCTGAAAAATTAATTGCCTGATGAGCCTTTCTGCATTTAGCAAGACTGGTTCTCAGATAACACACATAGAATCCATCAGCAACCTTTCCAGGTGGGTCTGATAGCCTTGGAGAACACAGGGTCATCTTCAGGCCACCATGAAGCAAAGTAAGACTTCACTGCAAGGTAGATAGGTAGATAATAGGTAGATAACTTTAAACCTCATGTCAATATTCATACCAGCTTACATGTATGTATACTTTGGGTAACAAGCATTTTATATATATATTATCTCATTTAAACTCATAACAACCCTATAAAATAAGTGTTACAAATATCACAATCCACATTTCTCAAATGAGCAAACAGATTTAGAGAGGTTAAATGATTTGCCCAGGGTCACACAGCTAGCCAGGGTTTGGGACAGGATTTTGAACTCAGGTCTTCCTAACTCTAAACCTACCATTCTATCCACTGCACCAATGAAGGTTTTCTAATGCAAAGTCCTGTGTCCTCTGTTCCGGTACACTCTTCATAAAATAAAAATACCTTCCATTTGACTAGCACTAGAAATACCAGAACTTAAGAATACCTGGATGAATTAAGCAGCATCAGCTGACAAAGAGCAATTTTTTTATCCAAAAGAGAATGAGAATTTTTTTCAAAGTTAAATTATAAAAAATGTTTGTGTCAATTGACATACCTAGTTCTTCCGGTGCTAGAACTTCATAGTTTACAAAGAGCTTTCATGTATGCTATATCATCGTTCCTCACCACCACCCCCAAAAAAAATAAACCTATGAGGTAGGCAGGACGAGACTTATTGCCCTCCATTTTACAAATGAAGAAACTGAGTTTCAGAGAGATTAAGTTGCTGGTCAGTATGATCTAGCTGAAAATATTTCTCAGTGGTGGAACTGGGATTAGAATCCAAATTTTCTAACTTCAAATCCATTTCTTTCTCCCATTAATCCACTCTTCCTCTCTATAGCAAAGTATATTTAAGACTATTGTCATAAACTTCTTAATTAGTCTAACCATATTAGACCTAGACTCTTACTGTATGCACTAACTCAACTCAGAAACTTAGCATTAAACAGCACCAAAGCTCTTTAGTTATACTTTCACTGACATTCCAACTTCCTTTATTTACTTTGTCTGCAAGGAAGTTCTTTGAAAACCAAACATTTAACTATCTTCCTTGCTCCAAGGTATATTTGAGAGAAAATAGGCTTTATGTCAATCTAAGGTAGATGATTCCCAGCATAAACTTAGATATGTAAAAAAAAAAAAAGGGGCGTGATGGAAAAACTGGGCAGTCCCTCTAGCACCTTATAGTGTAGAGTTATATTCAGTCCAATGACCCTGTACTTCCAAACACATTCACATCTAAATTAAAGTACAAAATCACATTTTAAAGCAAAACAGAATTCTTTTTTTTTGCACTCTCCAATGTTTGGGGTTAGCTATACTTATTGCTCTTCTCTCATGAGAATAACTGAAAGTTAACTGAATCGTCAAAATTTGAAGGTTGAAATCAATTGATAACATGATTTTAAAATGTTTGCTATTCAACAGTGAAAGAAATAAGTGATAATGATATATAGCTAAGCAGAAATGTTGATAGTGGTCTAATTGGTCTTCCTGCTTTAAGTCTCTCAATACTTTGGTCTATCCTATATACACAGTTACCAAAGGAATTTTCCTTAAGTTCAGATCTTACCACATGACTCCAATAATTTAATCAACTTCAGTGGCTTCTTATTGTCTCCAGGATAAAATATAAACTTTTCTTTTTGCCTTTTAAAGCCCTTGCACAACCTGGCCCCAATCTATCTTTCCTGTTCCACTGGACATTACTTCTCATTCTGATCCAGCCAAAATGGTCTTCTTTCATGGTCTTTCTCTCTCTCTCTCTTAAACAAACCACAATGTTCCAACTCCCTGATCCTTCTGACTTTTAATTCCTTACATCAAATGGCCTTGTATTTAACTGCTTTGTATATATTTGCATTTATTCACTTCATATTTATGTTATACATATTTATATATATGCATGCTCTCCTCCCCATTAGAATATAGGAAAGGGAAGAGGAGAGAAACAAGCATCTATTAGGCATTTGCTATGTGTCAGGTAAGGCAGCTCTATGGCTCAGTGGACAGAGTGCTGCGCATGGAGTTCACGAAGACCTCAGTTCAAATCCAGCCCGAACACTTACTAGCTATATGACCTTGGGCAAGTCACTTAACTTCTATTTGCCTTACTCCATTGGAGAAGAAAATGGCAAACCACTCTAGTATCTTTGCCAAGAAAACCCCATGGACAACATTGGCATGCTGTGCTCCATGGGGTCACAAAGAGTCAGACATGATTGAACTAGTAAACAGCAACATGTGCCAAACAATGTGCTAAAGTGCCTCACAAATATCTCATTTGTCCTCATAGTAACCCTGGAAGGTAGGTGCTGTTATGATTCCATTTTACAGAGAGGAAAATGAGGTTGACAGAAGTTAAGTTACTTGCCCAGGGTCACACATCTAGGCTCTGAGGCCAGATTTGAATTCAGGTCTTGCTGACTCGAGACCACGTACTCTATCCGTCACACTACCTGTTAACTTTAAGCTCCTTGCAAAGTTTAAAGTACAATATGAATGTCATTATTATTGTCATCATTGTTGTATTGAGTGAGGATTGATTAATTTCATATATCTACCCCCCTAGTTTAACTACATTTCCCCTTAGTGATGCCTTTTAAATATGCTGACAATAAAATAATCATTTTCCCAATATTTAAGGGTAAGGTGTCTGTAATATGAATGGATTGGATTCCAGCTATGACACTCTATGATTCTTAACTGGCCTTTCATTGTATATTATAGATAGACTGATAGATCGATAGATCAATAGATAGATGATAGGTTGATTGATATGCATCATAGATAATAGACAGATAAACACTCAGCATTCACCCTATCTTTGCTGCATATTATGACATTTTATGAAATTACAGTATCCCAAACTCTCTTATTAAAGTGTGTTTCCTTAAAATGGCCCGCTACAAATGTCTCATGCCTGTGTGCCACGGATATTTTCTTCAAGAAAGGTGCCGGACATTGGTATCAACAAATAACATCACAAAAATAAAACTGACTATCTTGACATGCTACAATTGGTAACCAATATGGGATTAATTTCCAAATGACTGGCAGTATTTAGTCAGGGCATCAACTTACTAAAGAAGAACCAAAACCAACATGAAACTAGAAGAATTAAAAAGAAGACATGGCTTACAATTAAAACCACCCCAACCAGAGCAATTTAAATAAGATACTGATGCTGAAAAATATGAAACAGAACAGACATTTAAACATACTGATAACATTTCCTACAGAGGTTTCTAACCAGCTTAAAGCAATAACTTACAAATAAGAGACCATAAGAGTTCAGAAACCTTAGCCAGCAAACATTTGATTTCCTTGCCAACCACAGATATATGGTAGCCTAGGCCAAACCTAAAAAAGCCTAGAATATAAATTTATTTGCAAATCTCACGGAGAAGGATTATGGAAAATTATGAGTAGTATTGACTTTTAAAACATTGAGAAGTAGTAGAATTTGCTGAAAGCTTGGCATGAAACCCAATTAAACCAGTCCCTCCCAAGAACATTTAAATATAAAATTGAATAGAGAAAACAAATGTACAAAAATGGAAAAGATCTGTCAAAATTACTGTGATAACTTATCACTTTCCACTAATGATAGTAGAACTGCAACATTTATCAGAAGGTATGCAACTGGCTGGACAGCCCATAATATTATGGTTCAATCTATACATATATGTTAGAAAGACACTGCAGATGGACAATGAGCCAAGCCCAGAATTAAAGAGGAGGAAGAGAGTAAGGTTATATTTAGAGAATTTCAGCACTTTCAATCTTTCCAAGCTTTTCCCTTGCACCATAATCAATCTTTTCAACACCATTGGTCAAAGGAGACAAAAATTTGCAAAGTGCCTAGCACAGTGCCTGGAACATAGTTGGTGCCTAATAAATGCTTGTTTTCTTCCTTCTTGCTTCCTTCCTTTTTTCTTTCTTTCCTTCCTTCCCTCCATTATTATTCTGGTAAAGCTATATGGCTATAAATCACAAATTATGACATCTTCAAATAATCAAAATTGTAGATCATGCAAAGGAGAATGGAGAGATGTAGGGGGGGGCATAAATAGACTACAGCATATTATCAACAATCAACTGAATACAAAAGTGAAGTAAAAGGTATCAGAGAGATGTGACTTCAAAAGAAGGTGAGCCAGGCATGTAGGGAGACTTCTGTGTTATACTGGTACCCACATATTGTTAAAAGACCTAAATAAAGAACTCCAGAATGTTGGGTGGGTTCCCTGTAGGATTTGTGGGTAGAACTGGACAAAAGTCAGGAAGGGTGACTACCTTTATCAATGAGAATACAGATTCATTCTCACATCAAAGGCTACCTGCTTCTACAAAAAGTATTGCTTCCCTGAATATTCTAAGATTTGAGCTTTTTGTTTTTTCTCTTTAGGTATTTATATTGTGTCCAGCATAAGGGACTATCATGGGTACCTAGCATTCAACTTCAAAAAGAATAAGTCCAGAAGCGATTAATCA